GGGTAAGGTCATCGATGCAGATGGATCTCTTCAATAGCTGGGAGGTTTAAGAAATTCACTCGAGTTGTTTTGGTCGTACACGAAGAGAACCATAGAAGAATGGGCCTGAACTCATGAACTCATGTTGAAATCACCCCGAATGAATCAAACAGTCTTTGCGTTTCATGACCCTGCGCTTTGGCTTAGAAAGACAGAGAGTCAAATCATGGAACCTGAAAGGCAACAAGGAAGGAAGAACCTGGATCTCACTTTTTGATTGAAAGGATGATTGGGCCACCGATTAGTATGCCTTTGTTTATCCATATATAATATATACACATGATTCACAACTCAAATGCATGTTTCCCGTTCACAAAGCATGCAGCCCCTTCGGTCCAGCACGACGCGAAGCGCCATTGTTCCAGTCATAACATGCCAGTCCCATTTTGTGCCGAACTCTTTCAACAGCGCCTTGAAGCATTGGAATGGACCTGGCGCTCGCCATGGACAGTCCTCTGGGAACGCCACGGTGTTCCCAAAACCGCGCGGCTTCGAGGCTTTTGGACTCCTTGGACCCTGGTGTCTAAAGGGACACACCAGATGTGATGAAAATCGAGATGGGTCCTTCCATCTTATGGCGGTGGCCTCCAACCTAACTGCGATGGCCTGCAACCTAATAGCGATGGCCTCCAACCTAATAGCGATGGCCTCCAACCTAATTGGATGCTTGCATCCATTTGAAGACCTTTCAACTTCTAGGGTTTAGAGTTGATGAATGCAAGGTTGAGCAACGCTGTGCATGAACACATCAACACAGCAATCATATCCAATGCTTAGCTTTGACGTCAATTCGCCAAACATGTTTTGAAACAAGCACCTGGTTTGATTGACATACAGATGAGGATCTCAGCTGTGCGTGGCTTTAATCTGATACATTTCTTAGCGAAACCCGGCGCACTGGTCGAAGCTTCGCACAACTGGAACGAATCGAAGCTGGACAGCAGGCCTTCAAATAGCTAGGCGGGCGCCTCTTTTGCGAAGTGATACTCCCCGTCGGGGTGCAACTTGCGTTTGCTGCTGGAGTTTTACACCACCTGTACAACAAAAAGACATCCAAAGATGGGAAAGAACTGAAGCGGATCCTTAGCTCTCAATGCCAATTCTTTTCTTGCCCGCTCCTACTTAATCAAGTAGGTGCCTTAGGTATGGGAGAAGTAAGCTACTAGGAGAAGTTCGCTCCTAGCTAGGAGGCAGGATAGCTCACGCTTCTTCAAGCAAGCTCCCCCCACCTGAGGGAGGGGGGGCTTCCTTGAAGAAGCACTCGCACTAATCATTTGGTTCCTAGGTCTTAAGATAAACTTTTGTCGTCCACTTCCTGCTTTGACTTACATTTACTTTTACTTTTCCCTTGTAGAGAATTTGGTCATGCTTGTTGAGCTCATGATCTCCATCCAGGGCTGGTGACTCCCTGAGTGAACCCCCCACACTCGAGATGTGGTGCTCCCAGATCCTCTTCGTGCAGCTCCAGCCGGAGCAGCAGTTGCAGCAGTTGTGGCTATGAGGTTGTGGTTCAGGCGCCGGAAAGCTGCCAGAAACGTCTTCACCGCGATATGGTTGGGTCGCAACTCTGGAAAACTTGAGGTGATGTCCTTTCTAGAGGGTGTAGAGTTTTATACCTGCGACTGAGCTTTTCCATGAGGGTCAAAGACGATTGCCGGATTTTGGGTAGCCTTGAAGATTTCAAAGACCATGGCTTTAACAAAGCACCAGAATGCGAGAGTGTGCCTTAGAGTGTGCCTTAATTTGAGTGGCATTGCTCACGCGGCAGACTTGAGTGATCGGATCTTGAGTCCAACGGTCATTTACCAGGACCAACCGCCCCCCCAAGGAGCCAGGAACAAAGGTGTCTTCGCATGTCTTTGATTTTCAGGCGATGAAGTCTGAAAAGAAGCCTGACGAGGCCCGCGCGGCAGGGGGGGTGCTTTGATTCGCCTGGCTGCCATGGCTGCTACCTGGCTGGGTTTAGGGATGAAGAAGTGAGTATGGGATGAGTTGAGTAGAGGGATGGATGAAGAGTGCAGGAGACACATATCATGAAACTCGAGCCTTGGAGACGTGACATGATCACTCGAGCGATCCTAGCCACACCTGGGGATAGCAAGGGTGAAGAAAGATTGATGGCTTTCAGTAAGACAATCAATGGCCGATATGGAGATGACGGGAAGTGTTGGTGGTTTGACTACTGCAGGTCCACTGTAGGTGCTTTTACAGCCGTTAAACCAAACAAGGCAACATTTGGATCTTTTATATAACTTAATCAATGTTTTTCACCTTGATCTTGGTGGCAACCGACCATTCCATAGACAGTATAAAGAAAATGCCTCAAGTTTGTCTCCTTCAACCGAGAATATCTCAGTTCCAGACGCAGTGGCTATGTCGCATCTTCTATCATCTCCTTCATGCCTGTCAGCCTGTCTAGCTGGGTTTGAAGGGCCCTCAATGTGAGGTTTTTAACTCTTCGCAGGCCTCTCAAGAGCCTGAAGCAAAAGGCCCGGCTGCTGGGGCTGGAGATGTTCCTTTCCCAATGCTGGGAGCATCCGGTACACCCATATGTTTTTTTGTTTTCTCGGTCTATCATTAAATTGTCTTTCCATTTCTTCATCGATCCCCCTGTTTGTCTTGCATAGCATACGGACATGTTGAATCTTTTTAATCCTTTTGCCATCTTCATTTTCTTCCCTTTCAATCTTCCAGATTTCCAAAGTCCGATTTCCGATCTGCGGATTTTCAGAGCTTGAAAGCCAAGATCTGGCCTATTCCAAGACGGGAAGGTCCGGATGTCAAGACACACAGACGTGTTCGATTTGGAGGGTTCGGAATTTGTGCGAAGTCCCCACTGATCAGACACTTCATCGCATCAGAAGTCCCAGTCATTCTTCAGCTCCACCTGGAGGCCACCGGGTGGAGACCTTTGTTCGTTGGCAGGTGTGGTACACCGGGTGGAGCGGCGGGCCGGTGGAAGGTTTGAGGTGGATGTACGGGGATTAACCTGAATAAACCGTATTGCTTGGGTTCATGTACAGAAATATCTCAGATCATTGATTCGGTGGAAATCCTATTTCTTTGGATTCACGGTAGCTATTTGTGTTGTTTGTTGAGGGGGGTGTAACTATTTTGATAGTAAACCCTTACGTGGCCGTTGCTTTCCCATGAAAGAAGGAATCACGCCTTGTTCGGGGAAGGAAGGGCCAGAACATTAACATCGCTTATTCTGAAGACATGTGGATACTGGATGACTGTTGGTGATAGAAGAATACTTTACTTTTTTGCACCGGTTTGGCTTGATCAACTGCCAACAGGATTGCCTGCTTGATCCTTTTCCTCTAGCTGGATCTTACCCGCACCCGAGTCCAACTTTCTAAAACAACTTGGTCATTTATCCTTTCGCAACTTTCTAAAAATTCTTCGATCATTGGGGTGATTGTGGCTTGGCTGAATGGCGACATCGAACTTCCAGTCCACCAGTCCAGCAGAGCCTGGGCAGGACCCTCAGGGCCGTACTGGCCGCGGCTTCCGGCGTCCCGGTGTGGTTTGGGTCGCCCAGATCGCGTTGCCATCAAGGGGTCCGACGACCGATGCGGATGCACCGTTGGGCGGATATTTTCCACAGCTTCAGATGTCTACGGAGACATACGCTCGTGCTTAGTCTCCTTGTTACTAGTAGCTTCTTGCCACTAGTAGTAATGGCCTCCACCCTAGTAGCGATTGCCTCCAACCTAATAGCGATGGCCTCCAGTAGCATCCTTGTTACTAGTAGCAATACGCTCGTGCTTAGATCTTTTCCCTAAGTGATGGCCATGAAGAAGTAACAGCTAGTCGTGATCGGGCGACTCATAGCAAAGATATACCACTTTCCGACAGTCCAAACATGAATGAAACAGCCTCATTTTGAACCTGTCAACAGTCGCTATCTCTATTTGTCTCCGACTAGACAGGATTTTGATTTGAGACTTATCCTCGTCTGCAGGAAATCTCTGCCCTCGAGCAGAAGCTCCTCCACGACGCAGTGAAAGAACGGTGCTCATGCCATGGTTGAGGGTGTTGTGTCTCATGTGTGTATGGCGTGTCAGCAAAGAACGAGAGGTGTGAGCTGGGATTGCACCTCCAAGCTCCTGACTAGATAGCCTGCTTCTGCACTTTCGTTTTTGATACCCAGAGAGTAATCAGGGGGGGTGCAATGTCTCCTCGTAGTCATGCCCTGGGGGCTCAGAAGAAAACCCTTTGCACACTGAATATGAGAGATTTCCTGATCAACCAATGTTTGAGCTCGTGGACTCAGGGGTAAAGAGGAAAGATGATGCAGCCAACTCCTTGCAAGCCAAGCTCTATGGTGCAACCAGAAGTATCAGGAATCAAGTGACGTGTCCACTCAAATCTATTTACCCAATCAGGCATATGTTGTATCCCTTCAAATCCGCGCTGTGGCTCTGCTCGTCTCAGAAAAAGAACTCTTTGTCAGGGTCAACCAACTCTGCTTGCCTAGCTACACCGCCAGCAACTGGGCTGAGAACGATCACTGGAGGATTATGTCCCAATTGTTTTCCCGAGAACACGCGTGGAAGTGCGCCTATGCACCGGACCTTCACCATTTTCATAGAATCGGTAATCGGTAGTAGCGTCCTTGCTCCTAGTAGTACGGCCAGGAGCCCCTAGGGCCCTAGTAGCGTCCTTGCTCCTATTGTCAATTGTTCCTTCTTTGTTCCAAGAAGGCAGAACCGTGCGACGGCTGCTTGGATTCAACGGGACGGATTTGTTTTGGAGCCGTTTAGATTAGCCCTTTCACCGAAGCGGGCGTTTCATATATTTTCAGGTCGCACAGGACTTCCAGCATAGCAACCAGCTGTTGGGTCGTTGGGTCTTTGCAGGCCGACTCTCATCAGGTGTTTCACCGTGATCGATGATGTTTGGTCCGAAACTCGTGCTGTGCTGAGTGCTGAGAACCTTTGGATCCCGCCTTGCACATGGCTCGAGCGTCCCAACACCGGGTCCCAGACCCACATCGCTGTCGGATGGATCGTTTGAAGGTGGGCAACTTGGTCCGCTTTCGACCTTGCTCCTCTCCGGATGAGAACCTCCACCCAGTGAACTTCACCCTCCACGTGGGGGGTGACAAGGGACCAAGCTATGTGGAGGACAGTTTGTTCTACGTGGTGCCTGGCCGCTGGACGGGGGAACCCTCGGTGTCTTTGGTGTCCAAGAGCTATCCGAACTTGCTGGTTCGGAGCTGCAACAGCACACCCTCACGGGGGTACCTCTTGAAGCTGAAACATCCCAACTACTATCCGGCTGCGCTTCTTGCTGATAGTTCCTTCACCATGGCAACTGGCCGGAGTGGGAAGATACAGAACTCTGTGAGCCTCAGATGCTTCGATGCCAGAGACATGCGAGTGAATCCCAACGACACGGTGGTGAGCGTCTCTATCTTTGGAAGGGAGTTTGCATACTCGGACTGTGTGCACAAATCTGGGTGGTTTTTAGACATGCTTTCAATGCTCTTTGAATAAACCAGTGTAAGAAACTCTTAATTTTGGCTGTTCTTAGATTTCTCACTGTTCTTTGACTTACTCAGAATGGCTCAAGCAGACCTAGGCAACCAACCTTCTCACATTTCCGGTGATCTCTCAACTAAACGAACCCCAACAGAAACGGATTTTTGCCCAGGAGGAGAGCTCCTGGATCGTTGATCTTGTCGAGCACTGTCCAGCTCATCTCGAAGATCTCCCGCGAGCTGTGAGACGCCACTGGGCGCATTTGGACGTCATGCCATGTGCGGCGCCCGGTCGTGTGCGGTGTGAGCCATCCGGCGATTCCGAGCGGAGCAACGAGCCGGGCAACGTGGGTGCCGTGCCACGCGAGAAGGAGGAGGAGGAGGAGGAGGACCGAGTGGTGGAATTGCCTTTGAAAAGCTCATGGGACCACATCGAAGAACATTTGAGAGTTCAGGAAGGTAGCCTGATACGCTTGAGGCCCTTTAATAAGCCAACTGAGAATGTGAGAGTCTCTGACTTTGCCCTTGGTGTCGGTGGTCAGAGGACCCCAACACATGAGAAAGACAGTTTGTTCTATGTGGTGCCTGGGAAGGCAAGCTGCGGCAGTTTGTCTTTGGTGTCAAAAAGCTATCCACACTTGGCAGTGCGGGCTTTGGTGAACCCAGCGCAGAAAGAGCCTGAGAAAGATGACAACGTCGATTATGTTGTTCCTGTGAAGATGACATATCCCAATTTCCGTAAGACAGAGACCCAGTCTGATGCTTCTTGGATGATTCGGCCTGGATTGAATGGCCGACCCGGGTGTGTGAGCTTTCAAGGCTGCAGCCTACAAACTCAAACTCATTTCTTGTGCTTGTCTACTGTCAACGGCTCGTATGGCGACGTGACTATTGAGATCATTGATGGTACTCCTCCTTTCTATGACGCTGCCTCGTGGCTTCTGGATGTGGTGCAACCACCTCCCAGCTCCGTGCAGGAGTTGCCGGTGGAAGTCCAACGCCAGATGGGGAGCGTTCGAACCGGTGAGGAAGCATCGAAGATTGGTTCCAATGAGCCGTTGAATCCGCCTTCGAACCAGGACCCACTTCCATCCGGTCCATCCGGAGATCCGCCGGTAGAGTTTCCCTTTAATGGACCCGGTTTAAAACTACAAGACTCTCGTTTGACGGCTGGCAGTCTGGTGCGTTTACGACCGGCTGACTCTCCAGATGAGTACTTGAGATATGACGAGAAGACTTGGGTGGCGAATGTGGGCGGATACACCAACCAGGTGCCCAGCACTGAAGACTCAATCTTCTACGTGGTGCCTGGGTGTGCGCAAAGAAAGCCTAACGACAGCTTCGTTCTCATCCCCAAGAGCTGGACGAGCACTGCCCTTCGACCCATGGAGACTGACCAATCGATCCGGTTGACCAAGGCCAAGGGGATCGGGCTAAGCACCACTTGGATCCTTAGACCAGGCATGAATGGCAAGAAGGACTCTGTGAGCTTTCAGCATCTCGATGCAGATTCTTTCATTTGGCACCGAAAGTCCGAAGTGCAACTTGCACAGATCGATGGGACTCCATGCTTCTACGACCGGGCTTCCTGGATGGTGGACGTGGTGAAAAAGCCTCCAGCCAATCTGAAAGACTTGCCACCGGAGGTTTACGAGAACATGGCGACTCTGCAATGCTGCGAAATTCTCTGAGCTGCTATGAGCTAGTGTTCGCTTTTGAGTCTTGTGAGTTTCATTTGATGTGTCACCATGGAAAAGAAGAGAGAGAGAGAGAGAGAGTACCACAGGCGCAAAGGATCCATCCCATTTCTGAGATTTGGGGGACTTGGAGATGCCTTTAACAGTCAGTTCAAACATTTGGTTGCACCTCAAGTGGGATTTTGTAATACAGCGCTACTTGGAAAAGCGAGCATCAGTCCGATGGCAATGCTGGTGTGCGTAGATTATACTCGGGGGAGCTAGAGGACACTGGCATTACACAAAAAGGTGGACAAGCAGCGCCGTCGCTGTAATGTGGCGTTAAACCACGATGCTTTCACAGTGGCTTGCCAATTGACTCCTACCCAACCAGGCTGTGGCTAGGACAGTGCCACTGGGATGGTGAGCGCCTTCCGCGCCGGAACGTGGTGACAGAATCGGTGAGGGAGGGTTGGCTGGGCACCGTATCCACAGCGTGATCTGGGATGATTGTAAACCATAGTTCACCAGATAGTCTACTAACTTTTGACATTCAATGGGCCTTGGAAACCAGTCTAACCAATCCCACCGGTCCAGCTGGTCGCCAAGGCTTCCAACGGCGTCAAGTGCTGCGCGCGGGCTACCCGAAGGGTCGCACAGAGGTGGAGGGGCCTGTGGACTCGATCGTTGTCATGGGCCAAAGTGGGAGATCTCCCAAACTCCTCAAGCTGAGCTCGATTTCCAACTTGCTGCCATTGCCAGGTTGAAAGGGAGGCCATCTCAAGTTCAAACTTTTGTGGCGGGGATGAAATCAAAGAACAATCTCAAGCAGGTTTGATCTACAAGTCGCTTCTCATCGGCAAACAGTCCGCAACCTATCCAAGTCTCTCAGTGAACACTCCGAAAGTTGAAAGGTAGAAGACCAACGTTTCATGCTGAAGAAGGATCCAATCTCCTCTCAAGTTAAACTCTCGGCCAGGTGGCAGAGGAAGCAAACCGCTTCAACATGCGCTATGCCTTGGCGCAGGCGATCCACAGTCCAGAGAATGGTTCGCCCGATGGACACATGGTAAATTGCACAAGTTTCATGGCACAGCTGCAAACTCCTAAATTCCACCTCCAAAAGTCTATAGCCAAGCCGGGTCAAATTTCCATGTCACGCAGATAGAAGGTTTCCAGAACACAAAGAACTGATTGCAAAGAATGCTTTTAAGACACAAACAACAATTAAAGAAGGTGCCCGAAACAAACCAATCGTTTTCATCCCATGATTTTATGTTTTTTCTTTCCATTTTCATCCCATGAGACGAAAAGCATTTTCACTCCTGGCATCGCTACTAGGAGCAAGGGACGCTACTAGGGGCTCCTGGCCTTACTACTAGGAGCAAGAAGCTTCTAGGGGCTCCTGGCATCGCTACTAGG